TAAATAACGCAACGAAAAGTGTCAGGTAAGCATTGAGGATTGTAGCTAGTCTTTTTTGAAGTTTTGGTGAACTTAGTGATAGTGATCCTATCAGAACCTGAGGTATTGTTCTTCAGGGACATCTTAAATCGCTATTTTATTGTACTTATGTATGAATTTGAGAGCGAATGGAGCGTCAGGAACAAGGCTGTTTCTCATAAACATTGTCTTCATAAGATTCAGCTGTAGTCCGACCTTTCCACATTCACGGTCAAAGTCGTTCAGCATTTGTGCCGCTTGGCTGATGTTTGGTGCTATTAGAATGATGTCATCAGCAAAGCGGAGGTGGTGTAGTTGCTGACCATCTATCTTCATTCCCATGTTTTCCCATTCCGGTCGTCGCATGATGTTCTCGAGGGTGGCACTGTAGAGTTTTGGTGAAATGGTATCACCCTGCCGAACCCCTCTCTTGATATGGATGATTACTTCTTTGTAGAATGGTGAGATCTTGGTAGTGAATCCACAATAGAGCTCATGAAGGATCCTGATGTATTGAGTTTGTATGCCCTGATTGGCTAGGGCTTCCATGACCGCTTCCGTCTCAACAGAATCAAAGGCCTTCTTTAAATCAATGAACGTTAGACAGAGTGGCATCTTGAACTCCCGAGAAACCTCAATGAACTTAGTAATCATGTGGATATGGTCAATGGTACTGAATCCTTTTCGGAATCCGGCTTGTTCACATGGTTGTCCTTCATCTAGTGTTCTGCTAATCCTATTCAGGATGACTCGAGTGAACAGTTTGTAGACGACAGACAATAGGCAGATTGGGCGATAGTTGTCAATGTCGTGAATGTCTCCCTTCTTGTATAGTAGTACAGTCCTGCTGGTTTTCCATTGGGATGGAACCTTGCATTCAGACAGGTAGCGTGTGAAGAGCCGAGCCAATGTATTGATGAGTACTGATGGTAAGTTCTTCAGGTGTTCAGGTCTGATCTTGTCTGGGCCAGGTGCTCTTTGTTTCTTTACCGACAAGATGGCATGTTGGATTTCGGAAGGGAGAACATTGGGAACGACATATCCATCATGTGGTATGTGGTATGTGGGCAAGTGGATGTGGCTATTAAAGAGATCTGAGTAGAAGTCATGAATAATCTCCATTGCCCTTCTGGAAGATGTGATAGATCCATCATGATGTCGGAGGGCAGTCATCTTGGTTTTGTAGTTGGTGAAGGACAGGCGGGCATTACGAATGCTTTTCCCAGCTTCTGCCGCATCTACCAGTACTGCTGCTCTCCTGTTTTTGAGGTCATCCTTGATGGCTTCTCTGCACTGTTTTGTCAGTTCAGATGTTCGCTTGTGGTTGCCTGAGGCATGTGCCAAGCCACGTTGGCGAATAAGTTCAAGAGTGTTCGAAGAAAGGCATTTTTTTGTGGTTATCTCTCTCTTGACATTCCTCACACAATCATGGAGGTGCTGTCAATGTTGTCAATGACGACATCTTCCCATGTTGCTGCAACAGAGCCAAAGAGCTCCCAGTTCCTGACGCTCCATTCTCTCTCAATGGAACCACCATCTCTGAATGCAACAGTTACATATACCTAGGTCATGAAATCAACATGATGAATGACCTGGCACCTGAGTTGCGCAGGAGGAAGAGAGCGGCTTGGAATGCCTTCAAGAACATTGAAGAAATAACTAAAAGGACAAAGAACCTCCAGCTATGAGCACATCTCTTTGATTCCACTGTTTTTCCTGCATTAACATATGCCTCAGAGACCTGAACCCTACGAAAACAGGATGAGAGTGCTATTCGGGTCTCTCAAAGAGGAATCGAAAGAGCTATGCTTGGAATATCATGATTCACTCAAATGAGAGATAGAATCCGGAGTTCTGATCTTCGTCAACTCTCAAGAATCAGGGACGCTGTCTCATTTGCCAAGACATCAAAAATCAGATGGGCTGGACATGTAATGAGGTTTATAGACAACCGCTGGACTAGAGCCATTACTGATTGGATTCCACGGGACATCAAAAGATCACGTGGACGCCCACCTACAAGATGGTCAGACTTCTTCGTCAAGACCCTGAATGATCGGTTTGAGGCTCTGCATGTTCCTAGAACGAACAGATACCATTGGGCTATGCTAGCACGCAACCGGGATGAATGGAGACGTTACTGGCACCCGCTCGAGTAAATCGATGAATAATGGAGATTAAGTGATTAAGTGAAGTGATGTATGACTTCTGCCAGGTCTTTTCTTTTGCTCTCTCATTTTTACTTCTTCCTAAATAAATTTCGGGGGACTGCAGGGTTCTAAGATTGCATTCTTTTCTTCAAGGTTCTCCAGCTTAGTGGGATAGAGTTTTTCACAGTAGCATCTTAGGATATTTTGCATTTACTTTGTTGTCTTCCTTTTAAGACATGTTCACAATATGTGCAATACAGTTTGGGTTTTTTTTAATGAAGCTGACATTGCATATTCCTAAAATAAGTAAACACAATGTAAGTGCAAACCGGGACATATAACAGCAAACAGTGAAACAATCAGGATCAAATACAGTCAGCAGAGTGGACGATGTCTTTAACCTATCTGCATTAGTGAGTCATTATAGCAGTATTAATTATCTTAAAGATAGTTCTACAAAACATCTTTAACATACTGCTTTTGCAATTGGAGAGAGCATGCTGATGTACTTTCATTTAGAAGAAAAGTTATAAGTCCTTACATAATTCGATCATTATTGCGTTTTAAAATAAACTGTTCAGTAAAATATGAGCCCATCTTTCAGTTTCAGTTATCTCTGTTATACAATGTATTTTTGCTTTAGAAACTATTAAGTAGCATTTATTACTTAGAATCTAGGAGCCCGGGGAGAGAGAGTACAACATAGAGCGCTTGCCTTGCACCCAGATGACTCATTCCCTAAGCCTGTCAGGAGTGATCCCTGGGACAGTGCCAGGAGTAAGCCCTGAGCACTTTTAGGTGTGGCCTCAAAACCAAAAATCAAAACCAGAAACTTATGTGTATACTAGTTTGTACTCAAACATTTATACCTGAGATCTATGTGATTTGCTATGTCTGTTTCCAGCAGAGCAGAATTCATGCAGTTTTTGTTCCCCCAAAATAAAAATTATGCCTTAGAAGTTAAGACATGTTTTTGTGGTACATAATTTGGCAATTATATAAATATAATTTGTATTTTTATTATTATAGCCTAGACACACTCTGGAAATGTGCCTGATACTAGAAAGTTTTCCTGAGTTTATAGTTAGTCGATACAGAAAATTATCTAGATAAGACCAAATAATTACTGTGTTAAAAAGTGTCCTGGCACAATACATTGGTGTTTATTATGATTTTCTGAAAATATTTTCTCAATTTATTTTGTGTTTTCACAAATATACTCAGTGATTTTATTTTCATGATACTTAACTGAAATTAATAAAATATACATTTCAATGTTTTATTTTATTTCTTTTTCTTTTTACACTGTATGCTGACAATGGGGCTGGAGCAGTAGTACAGTGGTAGGGCGTTTGCCTTGTGCGTGGCCCGCATTGCCAAGCCAGGTTCGAAGAGAACCCAGCAAGCTACCGAGAGTGTAGCACCCGCAGGGCAAAGCCTGGCAAGCTACCCGTGACGTATTCAATAATCCAAACACAGTAACAAGTCTCAAAATGTAGATGTTACTGGGCTTGCTCTAGCAAATCGATGAACATTGGGAGGACAGTGCTACAGTGCTATGCTGACAATGAATAGGAATTGAAGAAAATATGACAAATTTGCCCCACATAGCATATAGTTAGAGCAAATTGTGATCAATTAACCAATACAACACATTTATTGTAAAAGAGAAAATGTCTTTAATGCTTATACTAGTATAAACAAAAATACTAGCTTAAATAGTATATTTCTATAAGAAATATGTCTAATAGTATAATTAATTAATAAGAATTTATTATACAAAAATAAATTATTGGTTACTATGTCAACTGTCACTATCCTCCCGTTGTTCATCGATTTGCTCGAGCGGGCCCAGTAATGCCTCCATTGGACACTTTATTGTTACTGTGTTTGGCATATCCAATACATCACAGTAGCTTGCCACGCTCTGCCATGTGGTCGAGATACTCTTGGTAGCTTGCTGGGCTCTCCGAGAGGGGCAGAGGAATCGAACACTGGTCAGCCATGTTGGCTGCATACAATAATATTTATTTTACTAGTTTTTACTTTACTTTCTAAAAATTAAATCTGTCAGGATATCTAGCAAATTATATCTAACATAAAGATGAATATAAAATATTTATCAATAATTTACTGATGCACTTATATGGTATTTAACAAAATATTTGACAAGAATACCTTTATTAAAATCACTGTAGTAAGTAAAAATGAAAAATGACATTTTTCTATTTATATTTTTTTCACTACTTATAAGTAATAAGACTATATATATTCAACTTGGTAAGTACGAAAGAATACATCTCCATTAGCAAAATATTTGCAAAAACAAAATAAGTTTTGTTTTGAAAACTCATATATTAAAAAGTAGAGTTTCATAAAATGACAATTTAATTGCATTATTGAAAATTAAACTTCTCATTTAATTGAAACATTTATTCTTGCATATATTTCACAACTATTATGATTTGGAATCATAATTCAAAAAGTGTTATATTTATAATCTCCTACAGAATAAAATGTACTACAGAATAAAGCGTATCTATAATGGTTCATGTTTTTAATTTGCATGCTTATATACATAAATATAATTAAATTGGTAAATGTGCTTCAATTTTTCAAGGCTGTTTAAAAAAAAACTTTCTTTTCCATCTTGTGTAACTTTCAAGGCAATGGTTTATCACTTTTGTTTTCAGATTTTTTATTTTGATACTCTAAAATTACATGCTAAACAATTCACTATTATCACTTTGGAATAAGAGTTGCTCAACTAAATTGCCTCTAAACAACATTAGAATGAAATATCTAACTCTATCAAGCTTTAGAATTCTGTTATAGACCAACATTTGAGAATGCCAGAACACAGAGTTGTGGCAAACGGTTTAGGGTCAATGACCATCTGGAGTATGACTGTCACCCTGGATATGAAAACAAACATGGAAACACCTCAGGGACCATAGTATGTGGTGACAGTGGCTGATCTGATACACCAACATGTTTTGGTAAGTTCTATTTTTCAGCTGTTCTTTCTGAGAATATCAAACGAGCACTTTCCTCGAGTTATTTGCAAGAAACACTTATTTAAAAGTATTATCTTTTAATAACTAAACTTAAAAGAAAGAGTGATTAAGGCCTAGACATAAATAATCAAATCATGACTTATGGCTGCTTCCTGGAGGGTGTCATGTAAAGATTAAAGCATATGATTAAAGAATGATTGTTTTTGTCACACTACTGCATGTATCCATGTTGTTTAAAACTTAGCATGCTTTATTGAATTTTGACTTCTTTCAACTTCCTCAGCTATTTTACAACAAAATTGTGGCTTTATATCAGCATTACTATATAAAATAGTTGTGACATATATGCACAATGGATACTATGCAGTCATAAGAAAGATGAAATCATATAGTTCACTGCAAATTGTTTGGAACTGGAAGGTATCATGTTAAGCAAAATAAGTCAGAGGGAGAAGGACAAATACTGGGAGAACTCATTCACCTGTAGTATATAGAAACACAAAACAAGGGCATGGGCAATATTAAACAATGACAAACCCTTTGTCTTGAGTTGCAACATGCCAATTACCGAGCATGAGGAAAAGATTTGGGAAATGGAGTGGTGAACTAGAAGTGACATAGGGACAGAGGTGAACAATCTTGGGCACTTTGATGGTTTGGAGGTGAAAAAGTCCTGCACATCAAACCATAAATGCTAACATTAATATAAACATGCAACTTACTCTATAGTTAAATAACACTTAAAGATATAGAAGAATTTTATGAACAAGGACTAAACAGAAAACAAAGAGAAAATGACCTAAGGTTACACTTGCAGCAGGCAAAAGAATGTTTAGTAGTCCTTGGAAGGCATAAATGGCAGGGATAAAATAGGGTGAGGGCTGAGGAGACACAGCAGAAAACATATTCGAGATCTGTTCTGGCATTTTTTTTACTATCAAGTATTATAGGCAAAGTTAAAGAATCAATCATATGACTGATTTTAAGCAATCAGGTAAATAGAAATACAATTTTAAGGTGGTGCTGGCTTGAGAGAGAGGAATGTGTAATGGTTTTACTGGGGAGGACTGAAAAATGTTTTCACTGGAACATATTTTGACTGAGTTAAACATGAAAAATGTAGATTTAGATATATAAGATACAGAGCTGAATATATGGAACTAATTAGAAACATACATTTATCACCTTTGTGTAAATGATGACATCAGACTGGAAATTTAAACCAGATTTAAAGAGAGGATCTCTTGAGACTGGATTCTATGAAGCATTTCAACATTATACGTCTGATATACTAAGAACAGAAGGCAAAGCACCCCCAAAAATGGACCTCAGAATTGAGTGAAGAAACTGTAGTATTCAAAGTTCTTACTAGTTTTTAATTATTCCCTGCACCTACTTCCAAAGAAGAAAGTATTTCAACTCAGGAGAAAAAGTTACCCCATTTAGGGCCTCTAGAAAGATAGGAATTAAAAGCTCCGGACTTGCATGTTGCCATCCTTTTTTCAATCACTGGCAAATATTAACCACATCATAATAACCATATTATGCTATTTTTATTTGCTTTATTTTAAGTTACTATGCTCTTTGATATAGATACTAAATGTTATACAATAAATAATTTGTTAATCTTTGATAAATGACATTAAATACATACTTGTAGATCCTAAAGAAAAATGTGGACACCCTCCAGCCATTGACAATGGAGACATTACCTCAATGCCTTTAGAAGAATATGTTCCAGGATCATTAGTTAAGTACAAATGTCAGTCCTACTATAAACAACAGGGAAATAGTACCATACTATGTAATAAAGGAAAGTGGACAATACCACCAGAATGTTTAGGTAAGTATTTTACATATTCTCTTGCATTCAGAAAAAAATTAATGTGAAGTTTTACTGTTTCAAATAAAATTTTCATGAATGAAAAACTAGTGCTCTGTTGAATGTTTGGTGATTATTATTATAGAAGAATATAAAATGTTCTTAGTTAAGTAATAAAGGCAAAGAAAGTTTCTTTAATGAAAACTCTTATTAAGATGGGCCAGCTTGATAGCATAGCGGGTAGGGGGTTTGCCTTGCATGCAACCAACCAGGATTCGATTCCTCCACCCTTTTCAGAGAGCCTGGCAGGCTATAAAGAGTATTCCGCCAACATGGAAAAGCCTGGCAAACTACCCTGACGTAGTCGATATGCCCCAAACAGGAACAACTAGTCTCACAATGGAAACATTACTGGTGCCCGCTTGGGCCAATCTATGAACAATGGGAGGAAAGTGCTACAGGACAGTCCTTATTAAGATATTTGACATATATATCTTTAATTCATATTATTTTAACAAATTAAACTAGTACCATTTTACTTGATTCACAATTTAAATAATTTCAATACATACAATGTATTTTGCATGTGTAAAATGTTTGATATTTAATTCTTGAGTCAGAGAAGACTGTATTTGATAGTCTGAAGTTAAATGGAAATTTCTTGTATACTCTTAATGTCTTATATTTTTGCCTTCAGATTCTTGTGTGATATCAGAAGACATCATGGATAAACATAATATACAAATACAAGAGAGAAGAGGAAAAGAGATTTATTTTCAATGGGGGGGAAACTGTTAAATTTATGTGTAAACATGGGTATCAAAAACAGACCGAAACAGAAATCATTTCAAGCAACCTGTACGAATGGAAACCTGACATATCCAAAGTGTGAACAAAAAAATATTTGAAATCTTATCTAAGCAGTCATAAACTTAAAATATGTACAATTATTTAGACTTTTCTTCATTAATCCATTCTTCTTAACTTTACTTTCAAGTGCTACCTAACAAATTTTACTCAGGTCAGAATTTATGTAACCTGCTATGTTGACACAATTACAGTCTCAGAGATCCATAAATCACATTGCAAATGTGCCACATTAAAATTTTGTGAAACATGGGGCTGAAATGATAGTACAAGGTTAAGGTACTTGACTTGCATACAGCTGGTTAGGGCACCACATATGGTCCTTGAAGCTGCCAAGAGTTATCCCTGAATGCAAACCATTATATAAAACTTTTCTTCATTAATCCATTCTCTTTACTTTCAAGTGCTACCTAACAAAATTTACTCAGAACTCAGAATTTATGTAATCTATTTTGTTGATGCAATTATAGTCTCAGAGATCCACAACTCACATTGCTTATCTCAACTATTCTTGAGTGTTCGTCTCCCATTTTTACTTTATATGTCCTAGATGAGTACAGTTTTCTATGTCTCTCTCTCGCTTTCTGGCTCATTTCACTTAGCATGATACTTTCCATGTAAATCACTAGTAATTAATGCAAATTTCATGAATTCATCTTATCTAACAGCTGCATAGTATTCCATTGTGTAGATGTACCAAAGTTCTTTAACCAGTCATCTGTTCTCAGGCACTTGGGTGTTTTCCAAATATTGGCTATTGTGAACAATGTAGCAATGAACATACAAGTGCAGATGTCATTTCGACAGTAATTTTTTGCCTCTCCGGGATATATTCCCAGGAGTGGTATTGCTGGGTCAAATGAGAGCTCAATTTCTAATTTTCTGAGAATCGTCCATTCTGTTTTCCAAAAGGACTGAACCATTCCCACCAGTAGTGAAGGAGGGTCACTTTCTTGACACATCTGTGCCAGCACTGGTTAATTTTGTTCTTTTGGATGTGGGCCAGTCTCTGTGGTGTGAGATGATATCTCATTGTTGTTTTGATCTGCATCTCCCTGATGATTAGTGACCTAGAGCATTTTGTTATATGCCTTTAAGCCATTCTGGTTTCTTTAAGAAAGGTTCTGTTCATTGAGTCACCCCATTTTTTGATGGTGTTGGATGTTTTCTTGTAGTGGATTTCAATCAGTCCTTTATATATCCTTGATATCAACCCCTTATCAGATGTTTACTGGATGAATATCCTTTCCCATTATGTAGACTGTATTTCTATTCTGGTCACTGTTTCTATTGAGGTGCAGAAGCTTCTTAGTTTAAGATAGTCCCCATTTGTCTATCTCTTTTTTCCCTTGCTTGAGCAGTGGTGTGTCATCTTTGAAGATACCGTTAGCTTCAATGTTTTGGAGGGTTTGGTCAACCAATTTTTCAATGTACCTTATGGATTCCGCTCTGATGTTGAGGTCTTTAATCCATTTTTTCATACTTTTGTACATGGTGTTGTGTAGAGATCTGAGCCCATTTTTTTGCATGTAGCTGTCCAGTTTTGCCAGCACCATTTGTTAAAGAGGTTTCCTTGCTCCACTTCACATTTCTTGCTCCCTTATCGAAGATTAGCAGATCATATTTGGGGGACGGGGAGTCAGTACATTTACCCCTGTGCAATAGGTCTGCGCCTCTGCTTTGTTCCAGTACCATGCTGTTTTAATTATTACCACTTTGTAGTAGAGTTTGAGGTTGGGGAGTTTGATTCCTACCATATTCTATTCCTCAAGAATTGCTTTAGCTATTTGTGGGAGCTTATTTTTCCATCTGAATTTCAGGAGTGTTTGCTCCATTTCTTTGAAGAATGTCATGGGTATTTTTATTGGAGTCGCATTGAATTTGTACAACACTTTGGGGAGTGTTGCCATTTTGACAATGTTAATTCTCCCAATCCATGAGCAGGGGATATCTTTCCATTTCCTCATGTCCTCTTTTAGTTCCTGAAGTAGCGTTTTGTAGTTTTCTTTGTGCAGGTTTTTTATGTATTTAGTTAATTCTGATTCCTAGGTACTTGATTTTCTGAGGCATGATTGTGAACGGAATTGTTTTTCATGTCACTATCTCTCTCTCATTATTTGTGTATAGGAAAGCCATGAACTTTTTGGGTATTAATTTTATAGTTGCAACTTTACAAGTTTATTGTTTCTAGGAGTTTCTTGGTAGAGATTTTAGGGTTCTCTAAGCATAGTATCATATCATCTGCGAATAGTGAGAGCTTGATTTCTTCCTTTCCTTCCTGAATGCCCTTAATATCTTTTTCTTGTATAACTGCTATTTCAAGTACTTCCAGTACTATAATGAACAGCAGTGGAGAGAGTGGGCATCCTTGTCTCGTCCCTGATCTTAGAGGGAAGGCTCTTAGTTTTTCCCCACTGAGGATTATACTGGCCATAGGCTTGTGGTAGATGGCTTTAACTAGTTGAGGAAAGTCCCTTCTATATCCATTTGGGCAAGAGTTTTCATCAAAGATGTGTACTGTATCTTTTCAAAGCTTTCTCTGCATCTGTAGATATGATCATATGGTTTTATCTTTTCTTTTTTTGATATGATGGATTATGTTGATTGTTTTCTCAATGTTAAAACATACTTTCATCCCCGGGATGAATCCCACTTGGTCATGGTGTATGATCTTTTTGATGAGTTGTTGAATTCTGTTTTCTAGTATTTTGTTAAGAATCTTCACATCCATGTTCATCAGAGATATCAGCTTTTAGTTTTCTTTTCTGTGATGTCTTTGTTTCCTTTTTAATTAGAGAGTTATGAGCATCAAAGAAACTGTTTGGGAGAGTTTCTGTTTCTTCAATTTCTTTGAAAATCTTGAGAAGAACTGGCAATAGGTCCTCTTTAAATGTTTTTAAAAATTCGCTAGTGAATACATCATGTTTTGTTTTGGAGAAGACTTTTGATTACAGTTTTAATTTCTTGATTAATAGATCTATTCAGGTATTCCAGATCTTCTTGGTTCAACTTTGGGAGATTACAGGAATCCAGGAATTTATCCATTTCTTCTAGATTCTCTTATTTTGTGGCATTACAGACTTTCAAAATATTCTCTGATAATCTTCTGACTTTCTTTGTTTTCCTTTGTGGTGTCCCCCTTTTCGTTTCTCATTCGGCTTATTAGAGTTCTCTCTCTCTCTTTGTGACTTTCGCTTGTGGTTTATGAATCTTGTTTATTTTCTCGAACAACCAGCTCTTGGTTTCATTCATCTTTCGAAATTTTTTTTTGTTTTCCGTGTCTCTTGGGTTCCTTTGTTGGTCCTTTTTTTTTCAGCATAAAAGCATTATTTTTCTTTATTTTATTTTATTTTTTACAGTTGTAGATTTACAATTTTTTGTGCTTTGGTTTCAATTATACAATGATCAGATACCCATCCCTCCACCAGTGCCCATTGTCCACCACCATGGATAATATCCCTCCCACCCCCATCCCCCCATCCCCCCTGTCTCTGTGGCAGGACAATCCCCTGTGTTCTCTCTCTCCTTTTGGGTGTTGTGGTCTGCAAAAGAGGCATTGAGTGGCAAACATGTTCAGTCCATAGTCTACTTTCGACATGCATCTCCCCTCCTGGGAGGATCCTCCAAACATCCTTTATTTGGTGCTCCCTTCTCTATCTGAACTGCCCTTTCCTCTAGGATACCCGGCTGGCCTCTAAGTTATGGAGTAATCCTCCTGGTGCTGATCTCAGCTATTCTTGGGTATTAATCTCATACTTTGTTACTTTATATCCCCCAGATGAATGCAATCTTTCTATGTCTATCCCTCTCTTTCTGACTCATTTCGCTTAGCATGATGCTCTCCATATTGTACCACTTGTATGTAAATTTCATGACTTCCTCTTTTCTAACAGCTACATAGTACTCCATTGTGTAGATGTACCAAAGTTTCTTTAACCAGTCATCTGTTCCTTTTCTAAGATCTTTAGCTGTGAAGTCAACTTGTTCATGTGGGCCCTCCTTCCTGAGTAATGCTTGCAGAGCTATAAATTTTCCCTTTAACATGGCTTTAGCTGCGTCCCACAGTTCTGGTAGCTCTTGTCTTCATTCTTATTTGTTTCCAAGTATCTTTTGATTTTTTCCTTGATTTTTTTTCTGACCCACTCATTGTTAAATATTGACTTGTTTAATTTCCAGGTGTTTGATTTAATTCTCCGTGTCTCTATGTGATTAACTTCTATCTTATCTTCCGTGAATTGTTATCTGAAAAGATATTTGATACAATGTCTATCTTCCTGATTCTGATGAGGTATGTTTTGTGGCCCAGCACATGGTCTATTCTAGAAAATGTTCCATGTGCACTGGAAAAGAATGCGTAATTTTTTTTTGGTGGGGGATATAAAGTCCTGTATAGATCTATTAGCCCTATTTCTTCTATTTCTTCTTTCAGAACCATTATTTTCTTGCTGAGTTTTAATTTTCTTGTTCTATCCCAAGGTGATATGACAGTGTTGAAGTCTCCAATTACTATTGTTTGGCTTGCAATATCCTTCTTAAGGTGTGTTAGCAGTTGTTGTAGGTATTTGACTAGTCCCTCATTGGTTGTGTATACGTTTAGGAGTGTAATTTCTTCCTGCTGTACACATCGCTTTATTAATTTTAAAAAGGCCCTTCACTGTCCCTTGTAATCTTTTTCAAACTGAAATCTATGTTGTCCAACACAAGTAAGGCCACCCCAGCTTCTTTGAGGGGTTATTTGCTTGCAGGATTGTTTTACATCCTTTACTTTGAGTCTGTGTGTGTTCTGACTATTTAGATGTGCTTCTTCTAGGCAGCAGAATGTTGGGTTCATTCTCTGAGTTCATTTTGCCACTCTGTGTCTCTTAATTGGTAAATTTAGACTATTGATGTTGAGAGAGATTATTGTCATGGGGTTTGTGTCATCTTTCTGTAAGATTTTGTTG